GGAATGAGACAAGTGGGGTGTCTGTGGGAATGAGACAAGTGTGGAATGTCCATGGTGGAAGAAAGAACGGTTGTCTGTTTAAAGCAAATGTGAATGTTGCCATTAGCCTGCTTGAATAGCATGGAGGGCCCTTCCAGACAGGCCCTACATTCCAGGATCTGATCCCAGGTTTTCCGTTTATTCTAGATCAGGGGTCCTCAAACTATGGCCCGCGGGCCGGATACGGCCCTCCAAGGACATTCACCTGGCCCTTGCTCAGGGTCAACCTAAGACTGAAACTATTTGAAAGCACACAACAACAACAATCCTATCTCATCAGCCAAAAGCAGGCCCACACTTCCCATTTAAATACTAATAAGTTTATATTTGTTAAAATTGTTCTTCATTTTAATTATTGTATTGTTTTAAAGTGTTTTTTGCACTACAAATAAGATATGTCCAGTGTGCAGGTATAACGGTACCAGGAGCTCTAATTTCATTTGCTTTGCATTGAATGTTTGTTGTAGTCCTAAGTTTCAGGGACTCTGCAGATAGGTGGCTTCTTTTGGCTGCAATCATAGGGCAAGCCACCTGTCAATTACAGTTAGGTTCCCTGGTCCCGCCCCCTTTTTGGGTTTTGGAGGGAATAGGAGCCATTTTGGGTTCAGTCCACACAGAGAAGCCTTTCATGCAGGACATAATACCAAGAGCTCCTGTAGAAAGCTTTGTCTTCTACGGCTTGGCCGGGGTTATACAGCCCACAGCTTGGCCGAGAATTATACAGCCTTACAGCTCCTTTGCTGAGGGACTTCAGCCAGCCATCACCGAAACCTGAATTCCTTCTTTTTCCCCTGGAGGTCTACAAAGCTCTGCTTGGTAAGGGTCACTCGCGGAAGCCAGAAGCAATTGGTACTGGGTGCAGGGGCTCCACGCCAACAGAGGCAAAGGCAGACTTCCCAGATTAGAAGTTAAGGATTTCCCCATTAGTTACAGTTATGTTACAGTTATGAAGATAGTGCCTGTTCCCTGTGGTCAAGATTGAGAGAAAGCCAATAGACTGTTAAGAAAGCCGTGAAGTACCTGTTTGTTTTCATTATAAAGAACTTTGTTGAACCTTTAAGCAATCTAGAGACTCTGTTTTAAGGAAATCCAAAGGCCTTTAATCTAAGGCAGCCCCGGCGTCCCGTTGGGCACACAGAATTTATGTCCTGTCTACAGTCTTATGCACAAGCCCAGCGTGCGACAGCATATCCAGTGTGTATATGTCCAGTGTGTAGGAATTCATTCATTTTTTTTCCAAATTATAATCTGGCCCTCCAACAGTTTGAGGGACTGTGACCTGGCCCCGTTTAAAAAGTTTGAGGTCCCTCTTCTAGATTATCTGGTAGTGCGGACTCATATCATCCGGTTTAAAGCAGAAAACCTGGGATCAGATCCTGGGATATAGGGCCTGTCTGGAAGGGCTCTGAGTAGCCTTGTAGCTCCAAAGCCTGGCCCTTGTTGCCAAGAGGCTGGGATATAGGGCCTGTCTGGAAGGGCTCTGAGTAGCCTTGTAGCTCCAAAGCCTGGCCCTTGTTGCCAAGAGGCATCCTTTGTTTGGGAGGTGTTAATGGGTACTTGATTGTTGACTCTGGAGTTCCCCTTTTCTAAGTGACGTTCTTTATTTACTATCTTGATTCTGGTGTATTTTAATATTGGTAGCCAGTGAAAGGACCAAGGCAGAGACATCTCCAGCTCATCCCCTGTTTGGGTACCAGCCAGCACGTCAACGACTTAAATCAAGAAATAGTTTTCTAAGATCTACAGAGACACTCGCTGGAACACCTCAGCAAGCGAGAGTCCAAAAGTGGCAGGCTCAAACCCAGAACCTCAACCAATGGCTGATACCAAATGAGAGACTCCTCCCTGGGCACACAGAGGACTGGGCGACTTGGAAGGCGCTGAACAGACTGCGCTCTGGCACCACAAGATGCAGAGCCAACCTTCAGAAATGGGGCTACAAAGTGGAATCCTCGACATGCGAGTGTGGAGAGGAGCAAACCACTGACCACCTACTGCAATGCAACCTGAGCCCTGCCACATGCACAATGGAGGACCTTCTTGCAGCAACACCAGAAGCACTCCAAGTGGCCAGATACTGGTCAAAGGACATTTAATCAACTACCAAACTCACACATTTCTCTGTTTGTTTGCTTTGTTCTGTTAGAAATGTAATATAATTGCCTGGCTGCCCTGACACGAGAAATAAATTTAAACTTACTGCCTAATGATGCACAATATTCACATCAACACAATCACCCTAAACAGCTTGCTGTTTTCTCATCAGAAATAGCCATTTGTAATGACAATATTGGAAAGGACAGAAGACATGCATAAAGATTATGAAAGCAGTTGCATTTAAGGGCCCTTCTACAGTGCCATACGAAATCCTGATTATCTGCTTTGAACTGGGGTCTATGGCAGTGTGGACTCATATAATCCAGTTCAAAGCAGATAATGTGGATTATCTGCTATGATAATCTGGATTATATGGCAGTGTAGAAGGGGGTTTAGGACGTACTTCTCCTCAAATGGTTGGGGGAAAAATCCACTGGGGAGGAACAACACATTAGAAGGAGAGACAAGTCTGTGGTAGGCACGTATTTTCCCTGCAGAACATTCTTCATTCAGTTCTGGTATTGCCATTTGGAAGGATATCTGTGCTGGGAAAAATCTTTGCCTGCGAACCTGGATTGTTATCAGCTGTCAGAATTAGAACTGAAATCTAACTATTAGATGGGCCAACGGTCGACACAGTGCTACGCTGTATGGTATGCAAAAAATATGGCTTTAGATCAGATAATTCCATAATCACAGGCCTTTTACAGCTTGGGTGTCATGGAGGAGAGGCTCTCCAGTACAATAAAGAACTTGAGCATGGCTGCGGATGAAGTTTGGATCAGGAGAGGATCAAGAAGCTGTCTTCCCTCCCTGGCTTGCACATAACAAACCTTTTACTGGAAGAACCTGGAGCATCTCTCACTCATGTATCCACAAAGCCACTTTTCCCCACCTCAATGCACATTATCTAAATATGAGGTGAGGATGTTGAGGAAGATGTTACTGAGCTGACCTCACACAAGGAGAGATGTAGTTGCCTGAGAATGGAACAGAACCCCTCAAACCAAGGAAGAAATCGATAAGACCAGAAACCCTTCCCACATCATTCCACTTGACATTACATTTGAACAAGAATAATAAATATGCACAATATATTTCCAGGAAGACATTGCTTGTTTATGCAAGGCTAGATTTGCATTCAAAAAAATGCAGAAAGTAAACTCTTTCTAAAATGCCTTTGGAAAAGAGAAATACGTGGCTGGACTCAAGAGAGACATATCACTCTCTCGGAGTCTTATTGGCTCATTCTCTTTCTACTCTTTCTGTTGCGCTTCTAAGCATGTATATTGTGTAAGCATAGACTGTCCTTTTGTTACAGGAAAACTCTATTCTCATGCAGTAAAAAACAAATTTACTGCATTAATCTATAATTCTCAACAGCCCTAAAGCTTGGGTTTTTTTTTATCACAGACATTCTATCAGGCATCGAACAGTAACGCTTTATAAAAAAAATCAATTTCAAAAGCAGCCTGGTAATTTTTATGTTTAATAACTTTTGATTATTATTGTGCATGTGTGTATGTGTGTGTGTGTGGCAATAAGCATAGTCAGTGGATCTGTTTGGCAAAAGAGACGTGAAACCCATGCATTTCCGATAATATTTAAAGAGGCAAAATTGTCTTCTGTATCTTGGAACTTCTGACATGGTGTTTGTGTGCTCGACACTTAAGCCTGGCACAAAAAAATGTCACCATGCTGTGTCCGTGGAGGATGATCTATTGATACATCTGCCTGATTAGTATTCTGTGTCTAATGTTGGTACAGATAGTGTGTAGGAAGCAAAAGGACAGCACTGCAGTAATCATAGGTAGTACCGCAATGGCTGAAACCTGGGATGTTTCACTGAATTCAAGTATACCGTGTTGTAAAAATCACTGATTCCAATGGCCACTTTAATCACACTGGGGACACGATCAAATGGCAATTTTGTAAAAGTTGTCTGCTAAGTTCCCCTCCCGTACATACAGTACAGTAGACTCTCACTTATTCAACCTTGGCTCATCCAACGTTCTGTATTATCCAACGCAGTCTGCCTCCCACCCAGATCCACTGCTGTTTCAATACATTGCAATGTTTTGGTGCTAAATTCATAAATACAGTAATTACTACATAATGTTACCATGTATTGAACTGCTTTTTCTGTCAATTTGTTGTTTAAAAATGATGTTTTGGTGCTTACCATATATTCCGGCATATAAGATGACTGGGCATATAAGACCCCCAACTTTTCCAGTTAAAATATAGAGTTTGGCATATACTCGCCCTCTTCCAACACACATCAAATAAAAATTTCAAAAGCATCAGATTTTATTTCAATATGGTAATTTTCCTATTACTGTACCTCCTTCTCTGCCTCTCAGATCTCGCACCTGTGCACCTGCACCACTTCACTGCAGTCTTCAGGAGCGAGATCTGAGAGGCAGAGGAGGAGGTACGGCAATAGGATACAAGGGCGGGCCAGACAGGTAAAAGAGGTGTGTTTTTCTGGGTCCAGAGCCACTCTATCTCTTTTTTCCATACCCAGGGCGTATGGAAAAAAGCCCAGAGCCCACTCTATCTCTTTTTTCCATACTACCTGCAGCTTGCTCCGCACTTCACTTACACCTTCCCAGTGAGGCGCCCCTTCACCTCACCATCGGGACTTCATTAAGTCCACCAATCCTGATGAATGGATTTTCTTCTACTGTACTTGTACAGCGTCGCCCTTAATGCTTTCATACAGTCGCTGCATATGGCAGGGATGCGGCCACTGCCATTTTTGAGCTCCCCCCACAATATGCAGCAACCACAAATTCTCCAATCTGGATTGGAAGTTTCAGCACCTGCTCTATAAGACTACTCTCGCGTATATGACGACTCCCATGCATAAGGCTACTCCAATGCATAAGACAACTTCAGTGTATAAGACTACCCCTGCGTATAAGACTACTCCTGCGTATAAGACTACTCCTGTGTATAAGACTACCCCTGTATATAAGACTACTCCTGTGTATAGAACGACCCCTGACTTTTGAGAAGATTTTCTTGGGTTAAAAAGGAGTCTTATATGCCAGAATATATGGTAATTTGTAAAATCATAATGTAATTTGATGTTTAATAGGCTTTCCCTTAATCCCTCATTATTATCCAACATTTTTGTTTATCCAACATTTTCCGGCCCATTTATGTTGGATAAGAGAGACTCTACTGTACTTACATTTTGGGATTTGTTCACTGGACAAATGGCATTAGTTTCAATTGTGACATATAGATGTATAATAGTAGGGAAGGACTCTGAGTAGGGAAGTACTTTGGCTTAGAATGACTGAAAGTCTACTTCCCAGCTGCATAGGTTTTAAGTGAGACCAACCTCTAAGAATACAATACAGCCACAAACATCTTTTTCCTTATTTTTGTTGTTATTTTCTCCAGTTTGCGTCCTTGTGACCGACCTTTCTTTTTTTTCAAACTGGTTACTTGAATCAAACTTATTTGTGTGTGTTTTTCAATAAAATAAACTGCTATTAAACAGTGCCCTTGTTGAAGTGACAGCATTCAAGGAAAAAACAAGTGGAGTGTTTTTTTCCCTATCTCGATCCTTTTCCATTTTTTAAAAAAACATTATTCTTTTGACAACACCTTCACCTCCCTCTGTGAAATGCTCCTTTCTTGGGCTTCCTTGGTCTTGTTTCACATGGGCCAGCGCAAGCAGTGGAGAGCTTTACTCTACTTTCCCTGCAGCTCTGTGTAACATTTTTAGGTAATTAAAAACACACAAACACATGGCTGTGTGGCTTTCAGACTGCTGTCACGTGATCGGGATTCTCTTGAATTTCTATGCACTCAATCTCTTCCCGCTCCTTCCTTTTGGCCCGTTTCTTTTTCTTGTGGTGCTTTTTGGAGGGTGGGAAAAATGTTAGGAAGACTGGTAAAATAACAAAACAGTGCAGAAGTGTGCAACTGCCAGTGAGCAGCAAGCATTTGAACAGTGTGAAGGTCAAGTTTGAAGGCACAAAAAGGAGGGGGACCAATCCGATAAGAAAAGAAGCCACGTTTTGCAAAATTGCTGTCCCGTGTTCTTGGAGTGAACTTTTGATGCACTGAGTTCGCGTGTGTTCGGTTGCTAATACAAATGTGTAAAGCAGGGGTGCACAGTGATCTATGGAGAAATTGAGAGTGTAAATAAGGCACAGGATAGAAATGCAATCCATGTCTACATTCCATAACGTCATCAAGCCCAGGACACCCAGCTCGATTGAGGTGACAGTGAGAATTAGCCAGAAGTTCCCCAGAGGATGGATCACGAGGAAAAAGGTGAGTAACAACACCAGCAAAATGCCAAAGCTGGAAATCAAGACCGGCATAGTGACTGATAAACTGTACTGGTCCATGAAGACAAAGGTAGGGTTGAAGACGATGAACTTGATGCTTTGTTTCAGAGACAACGGTCTGAGTTTCTCCAATAACTCAATGATATCTCTCTGTGTTTTTTCACTAGTCCTAGCCACAAGATACATACGAGAAGCAATGATGCTATTCACATTCCCAGCCTTGGAGAAAATGATGTCGTTTTTGAAGTGCTGGAATTCGGGCTTTCGTAAGAACGAGTTTTGAAGTATGCTAAGAAAGTCACTTTTATTCGTGGCAGTAATGTTCCCAGCTCTCAGATACTGGTAATATTGTTGGAGCCAGGATAGCGTGTTGAAGCCTTCACTCAGTTTCTTTAAGTCTTCTTGTACAGTGCCGTTCCAGTACTCGAGAGGTTCATAGATGTAGAACCCGATGACGGGACTGTAGTTGCTAAAGTATTTCTGCTGAATGAGGGCATAGGACACACTTGGTGAATTGCTGGAGAGGAGGTTAATAATATTGGCTCCATCGCTGATCTGCAAGCAGCCCATAAAGGAGAAAGAAGCATATATAAGATAAAGTATCACCACAAATGGCTTAACATAGATGTTAGTTATCCATTCGTTGTAATGCTCCCGTAGGAAATGTTGGATGAAATGATTCTGGTATGGATCAGTCTCGTGATGAGAAGTGTGTTGGTGGCCATCACTCATCATAGTTTGGAACCAAACAGGCTTCCTTTCCAGGTATTCTGCAGAGGGGATTTTGCAGCAAAAGATACTGTGGTAACGGTTCTGCTCCAATTGCCCAGCAAAGACGAGACAGGAGCCAAAGAACGAGAAAATATAGAAGTAGTTCAACAGGATGGAGATGCACATATTCTGGCAGAAGACCTTCACAGCCTCGATGTTGGTGAAAGGACTGGCACCCATCCCGAAGGCTATAAAGTACAAGCAGCTTGTCATGGTGTAGGAAACCATCACATCAGAGTAGGCATCTGCAACTCTGTCTTTGAATGGCAGGTTCTCTCGGGTTCGACGCCATCCTGACAGAAGCTCAAACACTCCTTTTGTTCCATGACCTAAAGCAATGACAATGAAGAGATACATTAATGAGAGATATTAATATTGTACGGGCCCAAGGCCATGACAAAAAGTACCATGCGCGCACAATAGTACCCTCAGAGTACAGGCACCAAAGATGCTATAAAGAACCATAATTTGCTCATACAACAAATACACACTTGATCTTTTGGCTAAGATCAAGTGTGATATTAATATGAAAACATAAACGTATTATGGTTAACATTTCCTTCTTCAACTGTGCATATGCACAATCAGCGTTTTAATGTAAAATTGGTGCAAAACATTCATCTGTCTATATAAATAAAAATGTAATGTTCATTTGTGGGATTAATATAACTCAAAAACCACTGGACGAATTGACATGAAATTTGGACACAGTAACACGTATCGGGCCAACGAGTGACCATCACACATAAAAATATGAAAAAAAACCAGCAGAAGGGACTTAAAAAGCAAAAAGAAAAAAAAAGAAAAAAGCTGCTACAGTGCATGTGAAAAAAGACTCTCTCAGTAAACAAAACACACAATAGCATATCCACACCCTCTTCCGGACTACAGCTCCCAGCATCCCCTAGACCAGGCCCTTTAGGAGAGGAGGATGATCCAAATGAACTGCTTCCAAGATTAAAGCTTTCTTCTCCTTGGATTTCTTTGAGAGCATCCCAATCCCTGCATATTTCCAATTTTCTGTTCCTGGACTGCAACTCCCAGCAATCTTCCAGATAGGTAGATTAAATAGAGGTAGGTAGGTAGGTAGATGGGCCAGGAAGACTGCTGGGAGTTGCAGTCCAAGAATAGGTAAGAAAGGAGGAGAGAAAGAGGGAGGGAAAGAAAAGGGGGAAGGAAGGGAAGAGGAAGAGAAGGAAGGAGAGAAGGAAAGAAAAAAGGGAAGGAAGGAAAGGAAAGAAGGAGGGAGGGAAGGAAAGAAGGAAGGAAGGAAGGAAGGAAGGAAGGAAGGAAGGAAAGAAGGAAGGAAGGAAGGAAGGAAGGAGAGAAAGAGGGAAGGTTGGCCACAGCAAGGCGTGGCGGGTACAGCTAGTCTATATAAATAAAAATGTAATGTTTGTTTGTGGGATTAACAGAACTCAAAATCCACTGGACAAATTGACACCAAATTTGGACACAAGACACCTAACAACCCAATCAGCACAGTTTGGGGGGGATTGGTTTTGTCATTTGAGACTTGTAGTTGCTGGGATTTATAGTTCATCTACAATCAAAGAGCATTATGAATTCCGCCAATGATAGAACTGAACCAATCTTGGCACACAGAACTCCCATGACAAACAGTAAATAAATAATTCTATATAAATAAAAATGTAATGTTCGTTTGTGGGATTAACATAACTCAAAAACCACTGGGTGAATTGGCACCAAATTTGGATACAATACACCTATCAGGCCAACGAGTGACCATCACTCATAAAAACACTGAAAACACAGCAGAAGGCACTTCAAAAGCAAAGAAAAATACAATGCATGTGCAAAACCACATATAAACACAAATATATACACACACATATATACATATATATACACACAAAATGCATATGCACAGACTGGTCCACAGCAACACATGGCAGGGGATGGCTAGTCCATAATAAAAGTGAAAATATGTATGTGTCGGTGGCTGGAGTGTCCACTTTCACAGACAGGATCCCACTTCCACAAACAGCTATGATCCCCACCTATGAGGAGCCACCAAAGGCCCTCCCTCCAATTACATTGCAGGTTATATTGAGTGCTGTGAACATGCACAACCCCTACCAATGTCCTCCACAAACACAATACCGTCCACCACCCAAGTGAAGGCTTTCATATGGGGGCAATACCATCCTAGACTTTATGTGTTTCCTCCACCACAGACATCTCAAGGTTTCTGACTCTCTCCATTGGTGTGGAATTTGTCACTCCCATAACCCTTTCCACTCTTTTCTATGGCACCCAGCAAACAGATCAGGATTAATCATCAATTGAACACACTGGAGGGGGTTGGGAGACTGACTCCATGTGATGGAAGTTGTAGTTCACCCTGCATCAAAACAGAGCACTGTGACCCCTACCAATAATGGTCCTGGACCACATTTGGCACACAGAACCCCCATGACCAACAAAAAATACTCAAGGGTTTTGGGGGGAGTTCACCTTGATTTGGGAGAATTGCAGTTCACTCACATCCAGAGAGCGCTGTGAACCCAAACAATGATGGATCTGGACCAAATTTAGCATGCATACCCAATATGCCCAAATTTGTACAGCATCACCCTTAATGCTTTCATACAGTCGCTGCATACGGCAGGGATACAGCCACTACCATTTTTGAGCTCTCCCCCACCATATGCGGCAACCACAGATTCTCAGATCTGGATTGGAAGTTTCAGCACCCGCTCTATAAGACGACCCCCGGCGTATAAGACTATTCCCGCGTATAAGACAACCCCTGACTTTTGAGAAGATTTTCTTGGGTTAAAAAGAAGTCTTATATGCCGGAAAATATGGTATTATTATTATTATTATTATTATTATTATTATTACTGTTGTTGTTATTATTATTATTATTATTATTATTATTATTATTATTATTATTAGGAAAATAATAACGTGCTAAGCTTCAAGGGAACCTAAAATCATTCCAAAGAAAAAACTGAAAGCTGTGAAACTGTTTTAACCATCCACATAGCTATGGTATAAAAATGGGCTGCAATTTTACTTCTCCATCTCTAAAATCAATAGGAGTTTTGTCATGATTTTCACAAAAATAGGATAGATGAGGTAGCACAGTTCTGAAGACTTCGGTTTCTCTACTGCAACCTGAAAAGCATACAATGCGCTTGGGGAAATGGTTTCATTAAAATTTCCTTTATGTCAGGGAAGTAGGCACAGGCAGCCAGGGACCAAGAGAAGAGCCGAAATTCAAAATTAATTTTCTTTCATGGCTCGGGTGTGTGTAGGTATTAGTATAAACAAGGATATCAAGTTTGTGCCTAGGAGAGACTTGTTAATTTTTACATTATGATTGACCTGAATACTCTGCACTTCCTTGATTAGTCCGCCTAATTGAAACAATGATATAATAAAACAAGGAAATAAACTGGCTGCTGCTGTTCTTTAACCCAAGTTGAACGAATGCCATTATGTGCTCTTCCTAAGTATATCAGCAGGCAAAATCAGTCACTTTGCAAGCACAACACAACTACTCAGGGAATTGAAAACATATGGTATTCTGGAAAGATAGATCTCCTCCTGCACAATGATCACGTCTCATCACCAGCTGAAGATCCTGGCTTCAGTTCCTTCCATTGGTCTTTTTTGTTGTTCTTACTTTTATGGCCTGGGAATTGATGCAGCCTGGATCCTTCCTACAATGTTTGGGTAATGTCACATCCATTGGATTGCATGGGCGAAAGTGAGAACAAGCTGCTTTCCATGCCAATCACATATTTTCCAGGACACACTAGCATAGGAAGGAGCTGCAATGTGGATTCCTCCCATGTGGTCTCCAGCATCTGATGCTAAGAAGATGTCTGAGAGGAGCAAGCAGTAGACATGCTACTGTGGCTGTGGCATAATAATAATAATAATCATCATCATCATCATCATCATCATCATCATCATCATCACATCAAACTCCTCTGGGACTTCAAAATTCAGACATACAGAGTTTTGGAGCACAATACTCCTGACTTCACAATCGTGTTAAAAAACAAAGTATGGGTTGTCGATGTTGCCATCCCAGGTGACAGCAGGATTGAAGAGAAACAACTGGAAAAGCTGACACGATATGAGGATTTAAATATCAGACTACAAAGACTGTGGCACAAGCCAGTAAAGGTGGTCCCAGTGATGATTGGTACGCTTGGTGCAGTGCCTAAAGACCTTGGCCTGCACTTAGACACAATTGGTGCTGACAAAATTACCATCTGCCAGCTGCAAAAGGCCACCTTACTGGGATCTGCACACATTATTCACCGATACATCACACAGTCCTAGACACTTGGGAAGTGCCCGACGTGTGATCCAATGCAACAGCCAGCAGAGTGATCTTGTCTGCTGTGGACTCATCTTGTTGTGGTAATAATAATAATAATAATAATAATAATAATAATAATAATAATAATATATTTGTATTCTGCCCTATCTCCCTGAGGGGACTCAGGGCAGATTCCAGGATGTACAGGCACAAAGGCAAACATTCAATGCCTACAAACAACAAGACACAGATATACAGAAAAAGGTAAATGCTTCCCCTTTCATCTCCAGCTCTGGGGGTGTTGATCATCTTCATTTCTAAACTGAAGAGTCTGCATTGTCCATAGACACCTCCTAGGTCATGTGGCTGGAATGATGGCATGGAGTGCCATTTACCTTCTCGCCAAAGCGGTACCTATTGATCTACTTACATTTGCATATTTTCGAACTGCTGGGGCTAACAGCGGGAGCTCACCCAGTCCCATGTATTCAAACCGCTAACAAGTTCAGCAGCCCAGCGTCACCGCAATCAAAGTAGCTTTGGGCAATGCTCTTTTGAATGTTATGTCCACAGCACTAACAAAGAACGTAACATTTACAGAAGTATCCTTCCCTCCTACGTCAACTGCTTCATATGTGTTGACTGCTGTTCACAACTCTCCCTGTAAAAACTGCATTTACTACAGGCAGCGTCGTGCAATAATGACATTAAAGACAAGTTTGACCTGCAGTTTAAAATCATACAAATACGTATTTTTCCTATATGCAGATAGCATTATGCTTTCCACTGATCAGTCTTTTCAAGCAGGCTAACTTTTCCAGTGAATTAACTCGTTTATTATCATGGTTTTATTATCATTCAATAAAAAGAAAGTATAAGTCATGGGACTGTGATCAGGGTGCAATGGGCGGATCAAATTCTATTTTTAGAATTAGAAATTACCCCCTCCTTCGGGAGAAGGTAATTTCTAGAGCTTGCACACTGAAAATCATCCATTGACTTGGGCTGAAACCTATCATTGTGCTG